TATGCCTTCATACCTGAAATTGTTCCCTCAGATCTGTTCAGTTGCAGCAGTTGGCTGCAAATAGGCTTCCAGAGGCATAACACCACCTCACTGGAGCTGGAAAGTTGACTCGGGCTCTGCAGAGAATGACATTTGCTCCATTTACGTGGAATAGGTTTTATAAAGTAAAAGAGGAGTTGCTTGCCAGTGACCATCTTCAGTCTACGCAAAGCACAACCTTCGGGGTGAACTTTGGTGTATGCTGCTCTTAACATTTGCTTAAGGCTAAATCAAGAGTCGAGCATTTTCCGTTCTACCTCTTGCTGACAAAGTGCCTTTGCCTCCTTCCCTGTTCTTCCTCTCCCAGCACCCTTTCTTCTATCCAATGCCTTTACATGAGAGCAACTCCCTTTGCCATGTTGTTCCGGACAAGAGTGAGCGTACCTGTCTTGGGACATCCCGGGGCACTTTTAAGAACGGCAAAAAAAATCCTGGAGTTAGCCCAACTGTTGGATTGATAACTACAATTTGAATTTCAGAGGCGAGTCAGGTTTCCTTAATTTTATTACCAGGTGAAAGGATAATAAACTTTATTTAGGAAGAAGATCACTCCTTACCGCCCAGATGACAAATGATAAAGAGGGCTGCTAAGGCAACCCTTGCTCTTGTTCTGCTCTTACAATGACCATTTAAGCAAAGTAGCCCCAACAAATGGGACAGTTTCCCTTTGTTTGGCTTTATTTAAAAAAAGAAAAAAAAGTTTTCATCAGGTTCATTATTTTAATTTTGGAGAACGTGAGATGTGATTAGGATAGGAGAATAGATTTGGGATTTTAAAAAATTATTAAAATTACAGTGCCAATACTGGATTTGGGATGGCCTTTTAATTTTACTGATTTCCATTTCCTGTATTTGAACTCTGATTACTCCATTTGTTTTTAAAAACATGCTCAGAACAGAAGGTTTGTTCTCCTTGTAGTTGCAATTCTTCACTGGGCTTTTGTGAACAACAGTCTAATCCTGAACTTGAGTTAAGCGGGAGAGTCTACCAGCTTTTGTCCTCTGCAGAGGTGGGCATGCCCCGGCGCTTGGCGGTAGCTGTTGAGTTTTTCTGGAGTTCTGAATACGGGCTCCTTTCCCATACGGAAAAACATTTTGGTGGCTGTCCGCAACTGCGCTTCTGAGCAGCTCTTGGTTTGCTTTCATAGTGTTCTCTGCTTCAGAAGTCTAAAGTGGTTTGTTGGTTTTTTCTTTTAGGCATTTGCTAATGGTTTGGGGTTTTGGGGTGTTTAATCATTTTTCTGTTGGTGAATAACGTGGGCTGTAACTTCAGATTGACTTTTATAAATCACGCTTTGTTGTTACATCCACGTGCAAGTGTTAGAATAAACTTTTCCTGCTTCAAAACTCGGGCGAGATGCTTGGCGAGGAACTTCTGCTGAAACGCACGTTGGCTTTGTGGGTTTAGCAGGCCCTGGCAGAGGACTCGGTGCGAGATCTGGAGCTGGACGTGGGCGCGGAGGTGGCTGCTGGGGACCCCCTCCCTGGTCCTGCGGGGTGAGAGGAGCCTCCCAGCGCCTCCACGCTTTGCGTTTCTCAAGACAGTGAATTCCGTGCGTCTGGTTTTTGAACTTTTGGAGCTGGTGATGCGGAGGTTGCCTGAAAGTTCCCCAGCTCGGCTTGGGTTCCCCGGGGGGGTGGCAGAGGCGGCAAGGCGGGGGCAGCCGTGCGCGGCC